GTGTCATGCAGCCATACTATTAGAAGGAGGTGAATAGATTTTATAAATATTATATGGTTTATGAAGTATCTAGGCCAATTTATACAAAGAAAATATTTCTAAACTTAAGAACTTTTGAACTCTCACATCTCCGTATTGTTTTTAAGATTTTAAAGAGGAGGCCTTTTGATAACCATCTGGAAAATATCAACCTGGAAAATTTGTAAGAAGACAATGTAAGAAACTAAGGTAAGCAAAAATTTATTCCAGCCAAAGTATTTATTTGGAAAATATTTGATGGATAAACATACTTTTATATAAATTCATCTTGACCACTTAAATTTTAAATCATATTCATAATTACACTGACACTTAATAATAGCATTTACTGTCTTTTAAGTGCTTGATGGATGTTAATTTAATCCTCATAATACCATACGCTTTGGTCCTGTTACTTATTAAGCCCATTTTGCTGACTAGAAAACTGAGGCAAGGAGAGACAATATCTTTGTCCACGATCACACTATTTGTAAATGGTGCAGCTAAAATGTGAACACCAGCAGTTTAGCTCTGAAGTCTATGTACTTAACCAAGGTACCAGGCTACCAATTACCACTTTGTGAAGCAACTTGCATATCAGTAGGTATATCCCTCATTTTAACCAGGTCTGCTCTGGTTTAGGGTCAGTGCTCTTTCCCATCACACAATGTACTGCCTCTCACATTATCATACTTCAACTTCACTGTTCACTCTCATCAGCAGACACAAGCAGAAGGCAGTGGAGAGAGTGCAGTGCAGTAGCCATCACAGAAGCAGTGCAGGAAAAGGAATCCAAGCCACCAGCTCACCAGCCATAGCACAAGCACTTGGGTTTGCTGGAGGAGATTGGCTCCTCCAGGTCACTTCCGGCTGGTGCACTGTGCTCCTCTCTCTTCCTTCTCAGGAAGTGATGTGGTTGATGGAACAGGCACTAGAGCGGAGAGTGAGAGACCTGGGTTCCAGTCTCAGAGCAGCCTGGGACTGGCGGAGTGCCATGGACAGGTTGGGCACCGCAGACCGGCTCCCTTAATCCTCTCAACCACATGAGTGAGCATGACACCTGGTTTACAGGGAGCAAAGTGAGATTTAGAGTTGAGGAAAATTCCATCAAGGTCACAAAAGATATTATGTTGCCCAGGTCTGCCTGACTGCAAAATCCTCATGTCTACTTGACCACGTTGCCTCTAAAGTCACTTCATTCCTCCAAATCTGACTCCTCAAATATAAAACAAGGTAATGGTGCTAAATTAGTTCTCTCTGAGCCATGGAGCCCCAGGGATTCTTTGAAGGTGTCTCAGAGGTCATTTGGGGAAGGAAGTCCAAGGAGACAGGGCCAAGACAGGCACTAATACACATATACTCACACACACTCACACAGCAGTGCAGCATCACTTTGGCCTTATAATTCTGGCTTTCCACGTTACGATTGAAGGGGAGATTCTGCTGCTAAAAGAGTGTAGGATCATTTTTGCCAATTAATTGTTAAGGCCCCTCTTAGCTTTAATACCTGGGAGAGGATCAGCTTTGCAAAGGTACAATAACTGCAGTAAATCAAGCCAGTCAGAGGAGACTTCTGATTCACCTGGATGCCTCAGTCCAGAAAACGTCAGATGCCTTTGAAAGAAAAGGCTGTACCCAAACTTCTGCGGATCTAGACACAAATACAAGTGTGGGTAACCTGGGGACTTGATACTTGTAATTGGCCTGTGAAGAAGTGTTTCAGTTGTGTGTGTTTGAATGGTTTTCATACTCATGCCAGTTAGTGAGAAACACAGTCTGAGTTTTCTTCTTTCGTGGTCACCAGTCCTGGGGGTTTTCATTGGTCAGGAATAAAAGGGATGAAGCATTTGTAGTTTGTTTAAATCAAATGCATTGTTTTTTTTTCTCTTTCTACTTATCTTGCTTCATGTTTTTTTTTGTTTTTTTTTACCCTGTCCTCCTTCAATCTTGTTTCTCTCCTCTGGCCCAAATCAGGTGATAGACAGGAAGGGATTGGTCTTTGTTGGTAAGAAATGAGTGAATTCATGTACTCCTTTTCCTCACTTGTAATCCTACACAGAGCAAACATTGGTGCTTAGATGTTAGCTCTCAGGCCGGCATCTTGACGAATGCTTGGAGAGCCAACTTTTCTTTTCCCCCATCCCTCATAGCTCATATACCTTTCACGAAAAACTACATATGTAGCGAAGAATAAAGCCAAGGAAAGGCAAATGTTAATTATGGTGATGGTGATTACATCTTTAAAAACACACACACACACACACATTAAGGTATACTTTACATACCTTAAAATTCATGCATTTAAGCGTGCAATTTAGTGATTTTTAGTAAATACACAGTTGCATAATCATTACCATATTTCAATTTTGGAACATTTTCATCCCCCAAAAGATCCCTCAAGCTCATTTGCAGTCACTCCCTGTTCCCACCCCCAGCCCTAGGCAACCACTAATCTACTTCTGTTTCTGACAGATTTGCTTTCCCTGAGTGCCTCATATAAATGGAATCATATAATATGTGGTATTTTGTGACTGGCTTCTTTCATTTAGCATACATTTCTTTTTGAGGTTCATCCATATATTAGCATGTCTCAGTGCTTCGTTCCTTTTTACCACTTTTTTGAAAGGCGGCATTATGTAGAGGAAAGAGTGTGGATTTCAGAAGCATGCAAACATAGGGCTGGAGCAAAGGTGTGCCACTCTTTAACCTCTCTGAGATCCATGTGTAGGATAAAGATAATAATCCCTCCTTCAAAGTACTATTCCATGAGTTAGCTGGGGTGTGCCGGCAAATAATGGGCTCTCAAAAAATCCAGACTTCCTCTCTACAATTACCCAAAAACCTTTGCTTTACTTACCCAACCTGCTTCATAAAATTAATATAAAATGAATCCTACAGCCTCCCTTCCAGGCTTCACATCAAGTTTGAAATGAGAGCCCACATAACTAGCAGCATGAGGAATGGAATTCACTCAGGGAATTACATCCTTCATTAAAGGAGTCCAGATGGTGAGGAGCTAAAGGGATTTCCTTCAATTAGATTGCTGTCATTTTTTAAAAAGAAGGTTAAACTGTATTTAATTATTATTTTAAGGAGAAAAACATTTCAAATTTTTTAGAATATTTTATAGAGTTGGCCTGACCTTAGTAAGGCTCTAAGAACAGCATATTTTCCCACTAATTCTTATAAAACTGCCCCTGTAACATCAACCCTCAGATAACATGTAAGCAAGGAGCAAAGGGCTACAAACCTGAGTAAATAAAATCCATCTCAAATCCTCAAAACTCCACTTTTAGCCATTAGTTTCAGGATCTTCCTTTTCTAAACCTTAGAAGAACCTGAATTTCACATATAACAAAATAAACTAAATTGAACCAGCCCACCTTCTCTGATGAGAACATGTTATCAATTTGAGTTCCAACTAAAAGGAATCCTGATATAACCCCATGATACACTCTTAGGCAGAAAGTTTACAAAGATGCTACTCCTTAGCCCTGAGTATAAAAAGATCTGTTCTAAACCTGTTTTTACTTCTGAATCATTAGTTCTCTATCGATTAAAAATGAGGGAAAACCATTCTTGTCTGGTATGTATCATAGTTGCATTTCTTTCCCCAATTTCTGAGACACTTAATTTCCTCCCACTGTCTCGATTCACTCCCAGATTCACTTCCTGCTAAGTACAGTATAGCAGTTAAAACAGAAAAGGAGAAGGCTTCTCTATACTTTCACTGAATAAAATAGGTTTGTAACATTTTACTTCTCTTTCACTTCAAGTAGATTGGTATACTCTATTAGTCATGTAATAGATTTTCTATCTATTTTCATGATAGAAAATACTTGTTTTTAAATGTATCAAATGTAAACTAGTAATTAAGAGAGGCGACATATGGCTTTCTAATCTTTATATCCCAATAATAGTCACTATGCACAATATTGGCATTAAAAATGGCAAAGAATGATTCTTTCAAGGAAAATTAGATATAATTCCTATAAGTGATCATTCTGCAACAGTATCAAGTGATTTAATTTGCATGTGTATTCTGATAAAGCCACATCCACACAGATAAACAGATAAAAGGCTATATCCAAGCTGAACCAAACAATTAATATATTTGTATAAAAATTCTTTCCTTTCTATATTTCCTTATGTGGAAATAGGAACTGTTAATAAAATCCATGACTATTTGCCCCATATTGAGAGATCAGGAAGAAGTGGATAGAGTCCCAAAAGAGTTTTTACTCACTATATTATCACCTAAAATAAGCGTGGGAATCCAAAAATGTGATACAAATACATAAAAATAATTGGGGGGCATAAGCAACTTAGGTTTAGTTAGATTTGTGAATTATCCCAATCTTTAAAAAGTTTTCTTATGTTAAAACTTCCCTTTCAGATGTACAGTATGTATTGCATATTTGAAAGTTAGAGTAAATCTTAAACGTTCTCATCACAAGAAAAAAAATTAACTTTGTATGGTGAAATGTTAAAGTCGACTTATTGTAGTAATGATTTCACAGTGTATACTAACATCAAATCATTATGTTATATATCTGAAACTAATATAATGCTATATGTCAATTACAATGCCACCAAAGGCACAAATTACCTTTCCTTTTGTATTCTACAGTGAAGAGAGTAAATTAGATCCAAGATTTTATTTTAGGGATTTTACTTTAAATGGTATCATAGGAATTTATGTAATGGTATAAATAGTTTAGCGAATCTGGGACTTAGCAAAGATTTTCTCTACTGCACAGGTCTTTGTGCAGATGTTTCGCAACAGATGACAAAATATTCTTGATGATTATACTTCCTTTGATTATTATTTGGACTATAGTTCGTTTAGAGAATTCCGATCTCAGGGTGGTTGGCTAAAACCCCAAATTTGCAGAGTCCATCTCTGAGCCCTTGGCCACCGTAAGTATGTCAATGTGCATGCATCCTCTGTATGAATTACCAAATAATGCCAAGTCTCCTACCCTGAGATGGCAGCAAGTTTTTGGTGCGCCTGACGGGCCATTTCACAGCCTTTGGTTCTTGTCTTGTGCATTTCCGCCCGGAGTGAGGGGCAGCTGACCGAAACGTCCCCGATAGAAATGACCAACTCTCGGTACAGGGCCACTTGCGTGTTGAACTCTTGGACAAGCTGGAAAAGAAGTGAGTTTCTTTCAAGAAACACTTATCAGAAAATTTCCTATTTTGGTGTACATAAACGGGTTTCACTGACCCTGGAGCCTTCCTCCCTAACCCTCCCCCCCTCCCCCCCCACCACACACACACACACACACACACACACACACACACACACACTGCCCAATCTCTCAGCCTACAAATTATTTAAAGATTAAAACACAAAGATGGTACATTCTCTCTCTTTGTCCTGGGCAAGTGTTTATTTTTCACGGGGAAGTCCGGTGGTGGAGGCTCTGCTTCCGGACCCACTGGCCCCCACCCATTCAGACTCAGTCTCTGAAGGTAGCATAGTTGAGCACTGCCATTGCCACTCCCAGCCTGCTAGACAGCGAGGCTGGGCGCTCTCCTCCAGAATGCTCCGTGGATTACAGCAAGGGTATAAATTTGAAGTTGATAAAGGCCAAAGAGAGGTGGTAAGAGGCACACCATCCACGTCCTGCGGGACCACTGAACTGCTCAGGCTCCAGAGCCTGATGGGAAGACGGGGCACAGCCTCTGACGGGACCGTTTGTCCCCTCCAGGCCCCTCGGCAAGGCCCCAGGGCACTCCGTTTGGGTTTGTTCGCTGTCTCCCCACAAAGCAGCCTCTCCACCTCCCCTCCCTGTCCTTTCCCTCCCTGGGGAGCAAGCCCTTTCACAGTGTCTTCACTTCCACCACTCTCGGAGGGGAAGAGGCATGACCTCAAGACTCTTGCCCTGGCACTTCTTGGAGGGGCCATCACCACCTGGGTGTCACCCCGGATCTAGGGGACTTCAGATTTAAAAATAGTGCATGTGCACGTGATCGGCATGGAGGCCTGAGGGTGGGGGAGTGGCTGGTACTCAAGCAAACGATTAACACACACAGACACGATTCCCCCATCTCTTCTCAAAAAAAAAAAAAAGCGCAGTTTTCACCTACCATCTTGCAGTCGTCCAGGGTTCGCTGGGTTTTGCTGGCGCTCTCGGAGCCGCTGCCCCTGCGTTCCCACTCCCCGCTCTGCAGCTGGGGCTTGCTGATCTGAAAGATCGAGGAGCGGGTGGACCGGCTGGGGCGCTTTTTGCGCCCATTCGGTGCAGAACTCATGCATACACATCCACCAAGCCGAAGCCTCTGGTGCAGTGCGCCCCGGCGCGGGCGGCCCAGTCGTTGCCCTGCGCCGAGCAGCCGGAGCGAGGACCGAAGCGCGGCACTCACAGGGCTGGGGCTGGCTGCGCGGGTGGGTAACCTTCAGTTTGAAGGAGAGCCGGGGGAGCGCTGGCTGTGCCCTGCAGCATCGCTTCCACTAGCAGCGAGGAAGAGGCTCAGTCAAGTTCTGCTCAGCAGCATTGCTGGCCCCGTCCCGGGAGCTGGGCGCTGGCTCGCACCACCTTCCCCTCGGCATAGGTTGCAAGGCTGGGCGAGAAGGAACGCGCCTCCCGGCGGTTCTGAGTTTCCATTCAGATGCGGGAGCAGCTTTTCAAAGCTTGTGCTGCAAGGTGGGGAGGGTGGGAGGGGGGTGTCGCTCTGGCTTCAGTGTCTTCCCGCAGAGAAGCTGGGTTCCTCTTTCCCCTCCCTCCCCTGTTGCTAGGCCTGGAAGGGCTGGCAGTCCCTGAAGCAGGCAATTGGCTCTAATCGGCCGCCTTGATCCCTCGTCTCCACCGGCTCATCTGTTTGAGGATCCCAAGTGAATCTGTGGCGGGACTGGCGGACGCAGGGAATAGGCCCGCTGACGTCCTTCCCGGCCCCGCACATTGATAGGGCCGGAATACGAATGTGATCCGTCCACACAGCCCTCTTCCCCCTCCACAGTTTATGCACTTATCCAATCAAATCCCCGGGAACATCAATTGCGATATTACTTCATCTGCTCTATTATTAGAAACCAAACGTGTCATCAGAGTGGAGCACGTTGTCACATGCTGGGACCTAAACAGGGATTTCAAATCAACTAGTGTGGGCTTGAGGCCTCACTAGCTGAGGCTGCCTGAGGGCCAAAGATTACCAAAGCCCAAACCTAGGAGGGAGGGAGGTTTTTGCTTCAAAAGGAAGATGTCTGGGTAACCCAAGAGGAAAGCCTTGTTTCCCTGAGTTCTATTGAGGTGGTGTTTTTGCTTTTCCTCCGAGGAGGGGGTCAGGAAGCCAGCAGGGCAGAATGCACTGAGGCCATCAGTCGCATTGGTCCTCATCCCACCCCGTTTTAATTAGAAAAATTTTTGGCTTTGCGTTCCAGAGTCTCCAGATCCCCAGCTCTGAGAGTTTCCCAATAGAGACTTGAGCAAGCAGGCCTCCCTGGCCACTCAGAGGGACCCTCTTCTCCTTTATGGGACATCAGTGGCCCAGGGGCTATGGAGTTGGCCCAAAATGCCTGTATGAGAGAAGGTGGGAGTGAGTTCCTGGACCGTTTAAGTCCACCCTTACCATGCATGGCCTAAGGCTCTTCAGCAGCAAGAGAGGGGAAGTGGGCATTCGGTGCTAGTGTTCTGAGAATGCTGACTGCTGTGAATGGCTTATTTGGAGGGGACAGATAAAGAGGTTTGCCACAGGGGAACTAATTATGTGTAGAACAGCCTAATGAAGAACTAATCAAGGTTCCTGGTCAGTCTCATCTCATAGGGGGATATGGAGAGGACACAGCTAGGGAGAGCCAGATGTAGCTAGGAAGCTAGCACCTTAAGGAGGTGTTAGAATTTTTGTGTGTGGTGTTTTGTTTGTTTTCCAAGCCACGTAAACATAATGGGGGTGGAGTGGTATAATAAGAAACATACTTGGTCTTTGTCCCCAGCTCCTGACACAGAGCTCCTAAAACCTTTGGACTTTCAGGAGTGACCAGGGTGGTAAGACTCTGGTCCCCAGAAAGACCAAGCCTTGATTTGAGGTCTAGAACTTTCAGCTCAACCCCCAAACTTCTGGGGAGGGCAGAGGGGCTGGGGATTGATTTAATCATGAAAAGCCATAATGAAATCTTCATAAAACCTAATGGATGGGGTTTGGGGAGCTTCTGGGTTGAAGACATGGAGTTGCTAGGAGGTTGGCTTGCTCAGACAGGGCATGGAAACTGCGTCTCCCTTCCCATACCTTGCGCTCTGCATCTCTTCCCTTTGGCTATTCCTGAGTTGTATTCTTTATAATAATAAGCAAAGAAAGCACTTTCCCAAGTTCTGTGAGTCATTCTAGCAAATTATCAAATATATGAGGAGGGTATGCGGGAATCCCTGAATTTGCAGCCAAGTCGGATACAAGTGTGGGTAACCTGGGGACGTGATACTTGTAATTGGTCTGTGAAGTGAAGACAGTCTTGTGGGACTGAGCCCTTAAACCTGTGGAGTCTGGAGAGTTAGTGTCTGAATTGAATTGAATTGAATTGTAGGGAACCTCGTTGGTGTTGGAAATTGAAGTAGTGTTGGAAAAGATACCACATGTTTGCTTGGGAGGAAGAAACCTAGTAGGTAGAAATCCGATGGGTTCTCAGATGTTTTTGTATATTATTTCACAAAAGATCGAGTCAGTTTTCCCTAACACAGAGTTGGGGAGGGCGGCATCACCCCCCACCCCAGACCTTGGTGTGCTGCAGCTCTCCAGGTGTTTAGATGGACCAGGATGAAGGGCTCTTCAGCTGGCTGAATCTCCCCAAGTATGGGAAGATAAAATAGGTTAACTCTTAGTCAACTCTCTGTTTCCCTTCCCCTTGGTCTCAATTTTATTTCTACTTCCTGTGTATAGAGAGGAGAGGCTGAGGAACACATTAGGTGATTTGGTGGGATTTGCTGGAGTTTAGTGAGTGGTTGAGATGCTGAGGAAAAAGGTATAGGGAAGCTAAGAGACTTTAAGGAAGAAGGGATAATAATCATTTGTAAATTATTTAAGTCCTGTGACATAAACCCTTTTTGTTACTACTAACTCTCCCCCGCCCCCCAAAAAAAAGTAAAGACAAGTCTGCTTAGCCCAAGGTTGGTGATACTTCGGAGAGTTAAAGGAAAAGGGGCTGCATTTTTCATGTGTGTAGACATGGGGTAGAGAAAACAGAACACTGGAGGTCAGGCTTCTAGACCTCTTGGCATCACTCTATTTCATCCCCTTTCCCTGCAGGGAAATAGTGGCTGTCACTAGATTTGAGCATCTCAAAGCTCCTCAGTAGTAGGTTTCTACTCCAGCTACAACCATCTGGTTTCTACCTCCCCTCCCCGGGCCCCTTCTGCCTAGAGACAGTTTCAACAAATTAAAAGAAAAAAGAAAAAAAATCCCAAAACACAATTGCACCGCCCTGTTTCTGTGCCATATTTCTTACAGGAGGTGGAGGGAGGGGATAAATGAGTCAAACTCGGTGCCACATCTGCAGGACTACAGATTTGGAAACCTGCAGGGGATTAAGCAGAAAGATTGTTTGTAGGTGCCCACCTTGGCCTTCCCCAATGTGCAGCCCAAGCCATTTTCTTGAGAAGGGAGAAAAATAGCATCCAGCCCAGAGCTGTCTCTCTCAGGGACAAATGCTGTAATCAGAATAGCAGCAGGCAAGCTCAGTTCCCTCACCTTCCCCCACATTCAGAACAGCATGAATGTACATTCCTAGTGCTGTCTGACTGCCAAATAGAGGGGTAAATGCAGTTAATTCCAACGAGGGCATGTTTTCTGGTTACCCAGACCCAATGTTGGCACAACCCCAACGATGGGTCCTCTATAGATATATGGCTTTGACCCGAGTCACATCCTCGATTCACTCCAATATCAGATCCACCTGATGGTTCAGGTTTTCTCTATGGCAATTTTAGAGACTTCATTTTGATTTGGAATTTTACCAAATGAATACTAGTTTAGAGTGAATGTGAGCAACTTGGTAGGTTTCTTCAAATTGGTTCTGTAAGAAATCACAGTAGGACCAGAGACGCATATCTCAACCTGGACTGGCCTCTCGTGAAAGGAGATACAGGGAGGCGGGTTTCATCTGGGAGTAAAGTTCAAGGAAGGGCAAAGATGAAAAAAGACCTTAACCTGTGTGAGTCTGTGACAGCAGCAAAGAAAAACACATTAAGATGCTGAGTTCTGAGCCATTGGGGAGAGCTGAAGGGCATAATCAAGTTATTTTCTGTTAGTGTCCAAAGAGATTAAGTTATTGTGAAAAATTTAGTGAATAAACTACTAAATGGTTTATTCCCACTAAAAACAAGAGGAAGTACAATTTATTGGGAACATTTACTTATTAATTTTACAGATATTTTTGAGTGTTCTTTAGGTGCAGTTCCAGGTTTTGTTGGTCCTAAAGCTTATATAATTTGGGGGGGGCCCTTCTTTAAGATAAATAATCCAAAAAATTAAAAACAAAATTAGATATATGGTCTTAGAAGGAGCTCATGCAAAGTGAGGTTCCCTGAAGTTTAGGCTTCATTACCTTCATGGTAAATTTTCACAGTTGGTGTCTATTATATGCCCAGTGGGCATCTGGCGTTTTGCCTCCTTTGTTTTTATTCTCCCTTTTCTGAAGATGGCACTTTAAATTTCCTTTGAGAAATTAGTCTTCTCTCACCTTTTGTCACATGGCTCATGGGTTGAGCATATGGCTCAGACCTGGCCAATAAGATTATTACATTCTGGTGGCCACAGTGATTGGTTTAATAATGGGTATGAAATCTAAACTGAACCAATAAACTTTAGGCCTCGGGGCTTTCTCTGCAACGATTAGGTTGAAATATATGAAGGTGCCATTATTCAACAATTCTTGACCTATTTAAATTCAATTTTATATATTTCAGCCATGATTAAATGTTTCCATTGGGTTTCTAGAGTGATGACATGAAAGCCTGGAGTTTTTGGTGGCTGCCTTTGCTATTCATGGTCAACAGACTGCCTGAGAGCCAACCCAGAGGAAATCAGAATGGAGAGATGGAGAAAGATTGATGTTTTAAATTTTATTTTTAGTTTTATTGACATCAACATTATATTAGTTTCAGGTGTACAATATACTGATCCAATATTTGTATATATTGCAAAATGATCACCACACTAAGTCAAGCTAACATGTTACCATGCATAGTTATAGACATTTTTCATGTGATGAGAACTTCTTTTTTTTAAATTCTCACCTGAAGATACTTTTTTGTCTGTGTGGTTTATTGATTATTTAGAGAGAAGAAGGGGGGGGGGAGAGAGAGAGAGAGAGAGAGAGAGAGAGAGAGAGAGAGAAAGAGGGGTCTATTCGTTGACTCAGGTATGTGCCCCCCAGCAAGAGATCAAACCCAAAACCTAGGTATGTGGCCTGACCAGGAATCAAACCCACAACCTTTCAGTGTATGGCATGACACTCCAACCTACTGAGCCACATGGGCCAAGGCTTGTGATAAGAACTTTTAAGATTTATTCTCTTAGCAAATTTCAAATATGTAATACAGAATTATTAACTATGATTGTCATACTGGACATTACATCCCCATGACTTATTTAATTTTTAACTATATATTTGCACCTTTTGGTTATCTTCACTCATTTCATCCCCCCCCCCCCCAATCCCTAGCAACTAACGATCTGTTTTCTGTATCTATGAGCTTAGATTTTTTTTAAGATTCCACATATAAGTGAGGTCACATAATATTTGTCTTTTTCTGTCTGACTTATTTATTTCACTTAGCACAATGTCCTTAAGTTCCATCCATGTTGTTGCAAAGGGCAAGATTTCATTCTTTTTTGTGGCTGAATAATATTCCATTGTATATATACTACAGTTTTTTTATCCATTCATTCATCAATGGACACATA